GGGCATTATTCTCCTTTCGAAGAACAGCATCGGGCCCACCGAGGAAAAGGTCGTCAGCTTCCGATGTGAGAAGTTTTCTGTGTCTTCTGGGATTTAGCTCGAGATTTATTCCTGATTTTGCGACCAAGGCAGAACCACGGGCTCTACGAGTACTATGTCGAAAGGATGAGAAGTTTCTATGGGGGAAGGCACAAGAGGAGGCTTTCAACACGCTGAAAGAAGACATGGCAGGAGCATCCATGCTGGCTTATTTTGATCGGGGAGCACCCACAGAAGTCATAGCAGATGCCAGCCCAGTGGGACTTGGTGCGGTTTTGGTTCAGGAGGTAGACGGGAAATGTTGTGCAGTATCTTATGCTAGTAGAAGTCTTAGTGACACTGAATGTCGGTACAGTTTAACTGAAAAGGAGGCACTTGTGTTTGTTTGGTCCTGTGAAAGATTTAATATGTACCTGTGTGGTCTACCCGAGTTTGACCTAGTGACCTGACCATGAAGCTCTGAAAACCATCTATTGGCCAGGTCGTGCTACGAGGAACAAGAATCTTAGTTCCCAGAAAACTGAAGAGAAAAGTGTTAGATTTAGCCCATGAGGGGCATCGGGAATCGTGAAGACCAAGGTACGTTTAAGGTCGTATCTTGTCCAGGAATCGATAAAGAAGCAGAGAAGAAGTGCAGAGAATGTTTTGGCTTCGGATGGTATCAGAGCCTGTCCCATCTCCGCCCATTAAGCCTACAAGATTGCCTGAGAAAGCCTGGCAAGAGATTGTAGTTGATTTGCTTGGGCTCTTGCCTACTGGAGAGCACCTACTTGTGGTGGTCGATTATTTCTCAAGATGGATGGAAGTAGACGTGCTTCGCTCTACTACAAGTGCTGCAGTCATCAAATGCTTAGACAACCATTTTGCAAGGTATGGTGTGCCAGCTGGTTTAAGAACTGATAATGGTTCCAATCTGGTGTCTGAGGAGGTGGAGAAATATTTGGAGGAAATGGGGATTGTGCATCACTGCAACACACCCTTGTGGCCCAAAGCCAATGGAGAGGTTGAGCGCCAGAACCGCTCACTTCTCAAAGCCACGAGAGTCTCCCAAGCAGAAGGGAAAGATTGGCAGCTGGAGCTCAACAAGTTTCTACTGGCCTACCAATCCACAACCTATGTTAGCCCAGCGGAACTGTTTTTCAACAGGAAACTAACTACCAAGTTACCAGAGTTTAAGGAAGGTGGAGAGAGTCAGGTGGATGTGGCTTTGCAACAAGTGAGGGATCGGGACTC